GATCTTGAAACAGTTATGTGCGCTACCTGGATGGCCAGGCTAGTTAATTTGCATATTCAGGTAGATTTGCATATTATGGTTTATGAAGGCAGGAGATGTGATTATTGCTAGTCTTTCTCTTTCCCACCCACTTACTGTATAAATATTGTATTGTATTATTACCAGTTCTAGTATAATTCCCCATATGGTTTTGTTATATGTATTGGATTGGATGTGATGTTTAGAAAGCACTAGATACACAGAAACATAGAATGTGACGGCAGATAGGAACCATTCGGCCCATCTAGTCTGCCCAATTTTCTAAATACTTTCATTAGTCCCTAGTCTTATCTTATAGTTAGGATAGCCTTATGCCTATCCCACGCATGCTTAAACTCCTTTACTGTGTTAACCTCTACCACTTCAGCTGGAAGGCTATTCCATGCATCCACTACCCTCTCAGTAAAGTAATACTTCCTGATATTATTTTTAAACCTTTGCTCCTCTAATTTAAGACTATGTCCTCTGGCTGTGGTAGTTCTCCTTCTTTTAAATATAGTCTCCTCCTTTACATTTATCTGTTGAAGCATAGATAGAAAAAAGGAATACTGAGGGGAAAACAAACATTTTTTGTATTTCTTTTTTTTTAAATGAATTTAACGTATTGCATTTTTTCACATTACTTTCCTTAAAAACTGGATGTTGTCTGTTTTATGGATCATAGAGTCAAATCGCCGTGTCCTCATCCAGTCACATGTTCTGTGGAGGTCTCCGGACCCCCGTTTCATATCCTATAGCGGGTCACCATAGTTTGTCTTCGGTGGCAATCTGTCTCTCACAGAAGGCTTGGAATCCAAGAACTGAAGAGTAAAAATGGAAATGGGTCTTATCTCTCCTCTGTGTGCGAGGCACACGCTCAATAAGCAGTCCCTTTGATATTTTGCATCCTATTTTATGGTCCTCTCTAGAATGCGGATGCTGCTCCTATAATACCAGTCTGTCGATTGCTTCCCTGCAATGTCCTACAACTGACCATGGAGGCTTTGTAGTTTAAAAATCCCATTTCACTGTCTGTATGTGATCCTGTGCTGCAGTTTAACAAACAGAATAATCACAGAGTCTGACTACTTGGTTTAATGAGAATGTTGTAAACAAGCAAAGCAAGTTATATCCTTTAACCCTTTCACTGCATGGGCTGCGTCGCACTGCGTCCCGCGTCATTTGGATTACCTTTCTTTTTTTAATTACTTTAATTTTATTGAACATTCAAAAGCATCCAATGCTGTTAAAGTAGAACAGATTAATTAAAATTGTAAATGCTAATTACACTTATGTGACGTTACATGAATTATTCAAATTATATTTATTCAAAGCAAAAAAAACAAACAACCAAACAGTATGGGATTTTGTCAATACTTTTACTTATGGAAATGTGTACCTGTACGTGTGTGTGTGTGTGTACCTGTACCTGTACGTGTGTGTGTGTGTGTGTGTGTGTACCTGTACCTGTACGTGTGTGTGTGTGTACCTGTGATACGACTGACCGTCTATATTCCCCATCTGTGTTAATAAATGTAATAATTTGATAAATATTACTAGTGCTCTACTAGAATAAGAATAATTTTAATAACCTTGAGAAACACAGATATCACAACAGACAACTTTTACAAAGAAAAAAACTACACTGAAGAAATATACAGCAAGATTAGCAAATTCACAATTTTGCAAAAAAGTGATATAACTAGTGACCCCCAGATACGTGTGATGTTAGCGCAGACGTCATGTAACAAAGCCTCCTTCTGCATATTCGATACATTTATCTGAAACCACGTTGTCCAGATTAGAGTGTAAGCTCATTAGACCATCTACCTTATTGCTGACTTTTATAAAAGAATTTCATTAAGCTTCGTGCAACTCAAAGAGGAGCTGTCACACGCCAGGATTTGTATTAATATAATTAATTACTTATTCTTATATTTAGCAAATATGTGCTTGAGAAGTTTGAAAAATAAAATTAAACGTCTAAATTTACACCCTAGTATTTACCATTAACCCTGGAACGGAAAGCCTCCCTGTCAATCATTGTTATAAACAACGCTCCCAACACACAGAGAGTAAACAGGGAAGAGGAGAAACGGGAAGAACGTTTATCCTTTCCTAATGCAATATAACATTGAAATGTCTTTTTCTTAGGTATTTGTTTTACTTTTTTTTTTAATTCTTTTTTTTTTTGCTGTGCAGGTGATTACAATATATATCAATGGTCGCCACAACAGCGTATTTCAAGAGCCAAGACGGTTTAACAGTGGCATGAGAATTTGCACAATTTTTTTTTTTTTTAAAGCATGCTTAACTAGACAGATTGGTAAAGTGAGGTGAGCTAGAATACAATGAGATTGACTAACGTTTAGTTTTCAATTCTGCTGTTGCAATGCTATCATAGACATAATGTATAAGCACGGTTTACAGTATAGCAGTAACTAGATTAAAGAATACATGTAAAGGTTAGACTATGTGTAGACATCTAGGGAGCCTCATACAGCAGTTAACATTGCTAATCATGTATAGGAAAAAACACAGCAGGTTTTCAGTGCCACACCAGTTAGGGACAGCATTTTTCAACTTTAGTTACAACATAGAGAGCATATTATTAGGTTTGCCTCAGCAACGATTGCAAGCGTAGGTTAACGTTCTATGACTTTAGTTCAGCTATACCTTTAGAGAGGGGCATTGGTTAGTTAGACAAGCTTGACCCAGCAGCCATCCCTTCTGAGTAGAATTAAGACTGGGTAGTCAACATTTAACATTACTAGATTAGCTTTGCTAGTATGAAATACTGGTGCATTTAGATCTGGTAAGCTGACTGTCTAGCCGTTAATTGCTAGTTTGCATTTTGGGAAAGACATAAGAAAACATTTATGTGGTTCTGGTCGACTTAGGTTACATGCTAAAGAAAAAAACATTACTTATCATAAAAAGCATAATAGGGGTGCCTACTAGGCAACGATAGGGTGTCTGTATTTTGCAGGTGAGAGTCTCAGTGTGTGCGTATACAGAGCTTGTGTGCCGGTCATGAGACCTGCACCTCGCGAAATAGGGCTGGTGCGTCCATGAGGCCAATTCAGCCGATGCCCCACTTGTGCAGGGGTGTCGGAGATGGAGAGGGTGTTTGACTGGGAGCCATGTTGTTCCTTGGCATGCGAGGCAGGTTAGTCTCTCAAAGGTGCTGTGGGTGTGCAGCAGGGCCGTTCGGAGGTTGACACGTGGTGTCCGCCATAGTTGTCAGTGTTGGTCCGGCTGCATGGGACTATCCCCTTTGTGGTTTTGCTGCTGCGTCCCAAGCTTTAGGTACCGGGATATCCCTCACCGGTAGGGGGGGGGAAGGAGTTTGCCGGAGAAACCTCCAAGTGAATGGCTGCAGTCAACACAGGGATCGGCCACCTCCTCGCACCGTCTAAGTAGGCCTCAGGTAGGCCTCAGGTCAATCCCCAGTTAGGAGCCCCGGGTCACGGTCAGGATACTAGACTTTTTACTCTGTGGTCTAGGGCTCCCTTCTCTAGGTCACTTAATCGTTGATTTGTCAGCGTTTTGCCCCAATTTTGGCTGGTTATGAGCGGTTTTTGCACGGAGCTCTTCTCACGTGCGACCGCTCAGCTTGGCTGCTTGGCTCCGCCCTCATTTTTTAAAACTTTTATTATGAAACTTTAAGATAAATTCGGCCTAGAAGATAATATGCAATTAGAACATAAATTAATTATTAATAAAATAAGATACATGCATTATCTGATCTGTAAAAAACATACTTACATAACCTTAATAAATGCAGTACTATATCTCAGTGTTACCCTTATCTAATGCTCACACCTAGATTAAAAGGTGATTACATGCCGGTATGGGAAAAAGATACGGGAACTTGTTACAACACTAAGGAATGGCTTAAATTTGTACCAGCTCTTAAAGGAGTTACACAGCACTCCAATCATTGGGAAAACAATTTCAAAATTTATAGATGGTATTTATCCCCCTATAGGTTGAATAAAATGAACCCCAGATATTCAGATAAATGTTGGAGAAACTGGAGTGACTGGCTCGCTTTCACATGTTTTTTGGTATTGTCCTAAACTCACGCAAATTTGTCAGGAAATACATAAATTAATCCAAAAAGTAAATTCAAATATTCCTGTACTCACTTCAGAATTGGCTTTATTCAAATTCTTCCCTAATACTATTGTAAACATTGATAACATTATAATTGGGCATATCCTTTTAGCTGCTACTCTGGTCATCACCAAATATTAAAGACGTTTCTAATTATATACTAGAATATTAGGGGAATGAACTGGCTCTCAGACTTCCTTCTTTGCAGTTACATAACCTTAGACACTACTGGGACGAATGGGAAACAAAGATTAAAAGAGAATATAGGTTTTGATTGCCTGTATAAAGAAATGTATTTGTAAAATTGTTTGACAACAAAAAATGTTATTCTTTTACGCGGTTATCTGAACTAGGTATTGTTGTGTCATGTTATGTATACTAGAATTGGTTATAGTCATTAGAATTTAAGTCGGGAGAAAAAGCTATTGTGGTTGGATGTACTCCCCTTCCCCTTTTGTCTTCTTCCTTTGCCCCCCTCACCCCCAATTTTTGATTTTACTTATTAACATTGCAATTTAATTGCACAGTTCATTTATACCAATATGTTATCACAATGCAAATTGACTATATAGTGCCTGTTCAATACTTTTATCATTATTTTACATATGGACTGGATACATTGATATTTACTCTTTTTATGTATAACATATATGGTATTTTCTTTCATTGCAAAAGTCAGTTATAGTAAAAATATCTCTTTAATAAAATAGATTTGAAAAAAAAAATAAAAATCCTCTTTGATCTACATGTATTCTTTAACTGGACACTATAGTCACCAGAATAACTACAGCTTAATGTATTTATTTATTCCTTCAGAGAAAATGCAGTGTTTACATTACAGCCTAGTGATACCCCCACTGGCCACTCCTCAGATGGCTGTTAGAGATCCTTCCTGGATCATGGCTGCCTAAAATGCATCCAAACATTCAGTATCTCCTCCCTCTGCATGCAGACACTGAACTTTCCTCATAGAGAGTCATTGATTCATTGTATCTCTATGAGGAGATGCTGATTGACCAGGGCTGTGTTTGAATCATGCTGGCTCTGCCCCTGATCTGCCTCCTTGTCAGTCTCAGCCAATCCTATGGGGAAGCACTGTGATTGGATCAGGCTACCACTTCTGATGATGTCAGCAGACTGCTTTCTTTTTTTAGGCAAACAGCATGCAGAGTTACAGCTTCTGGCTTGAATACAGTAAGATTTTGCTATATTTATGGTGGCATGAAGGGCCCAGGGGGGCTAGATGGTGGTTTTAACACTATAGGGTCAGGAATACTTGTTTGTGTTCCTGACACTATAGTGATCATTTAAGACTATTTCCTCTTGTTATGGTAACTTTTCTTCTTTTAAATATAGTCTCCTATTTTGTATTTTTGTTCCCTTTATGTATTTAAATGTTGCTATCATACCCCTCCATCTCGTCTTTCCTCCAAGCTATACATGTTAAGATCCTTTAACCTTTCCTTGTAAGATTTATCCTGCAATCCATGAACCAGTTTAGTAGCCCTTCTCTGAACCCTCTCTAAGGTATCAATATCCTTCTGGAGATACGGCCTCCAGGGGGGCGTGGTCTGGCCGCGAGTGAAGATGGCTGCTTAGGGGAAGAGCTCCGACCCACACAGCCAAAATAGCAAGCACACACATCAGCACGGCACGATTATGGGGCGCACAAAACGCCCGGACGGCACACAGACACCCAGGGCTCACCCGAGCAGCTCACAGACGGGACCCATGGACGGGTACCTAGCTCCGTCGACGGCTGGACACCACGAGGTGGCGGGCGCAAATATGGCCGACTCCCCGACACGCTCACTGTCATCTGAGCAGGCTGAACCCTCGCTGGCTGATATCAGCGCAGATATCAGGGCACTGGCAGCGGCAATGGTAACAAAGGAGGACATGAGAGCCCTCTCTGATACCCTGCACGCGGCGATCCGCACAGAGGTGACCTCACTCAGGGCTGAACTCACTGCCCAGGCTACCAGGATGCAGGTAGCTGAATCTAATGTGCAGGCCATGGGAGACAGGCTGGAAGCCACTAATACTGCAATACACAGGCAAGGCAACATTCTTTTACAGCTAAGGCGGCAAACAGAGGATCTTGATAACAGGGGCCGCAGATCAAACATAAGGGTCCGCGGCCTACCTGAACCTGAAGGGAACGAAGACGTAGAAGCTACGTTACAGATGCTGTTCCGAGATATCCTAGGGGCAGAGGCACCGGAATCCATGGTGTTCGACAGAGCACACAGGGCTGCCAGAGCTCGCGCAACTGATAACACACCGCGAGACATTATCTGCTGCCTACACGCCTACAAGCTAAAGGAGAAAATAATGAACAAAGCCCGTTCCAGACCCACCTGGCGATTCCGCGATGCGGAGGTGGCCCTGTATCAAGACCTGTCTCCTCTTACGCTAGAGGCCCGCAGGGCCCTGAGACCCGTCACTACGCTCCTCAGGGACAGAGGGATCCCATACAAATGGGGTTTCCCCTTTATGCTTTTAGCCAGACATCACGATGAATGGTTCCCACTAAGATGGCCCGAAGAAGTGCCCAGATTTCTACAGCGCCTTAATCTTCCACCCACAGAGGTCACCGACTGGATCCTGGGGTCGACGGACCAGAGACAAGGGCCCCAAACTCCTGGCCAGCAGCGTAGAAGGAGAGACAACACGCCAAGGCGCCCACAGACCCGCAGGCAATTGGTGCCCACGGACCCGGAGGAGTGAAGATAGAAATCCCCCCCCTGCTCCCACTGGGCAAGGAGGACAGAACACGACACGTGCACCATACCCGAGCTTGCAGAACCTGGCGGAACCCAGAGACACCCTACGCACCACAGAGCACAGATAAGTACTGCTTGCATACATACATAAGAGGGGACACTTACATGGACACCCACGATTGGGAATAGCAGCACCTTA